CCTTAAATAAGAAACTGGCATATCTAATCCTCTCTCTATCATTCATGGGAAACAGTGCCACCGTCGGCTCTACGGACTTAAACCACTCCTCTGCCTCTAGCGGATCCCTAGTACCCCTAAATGCTGGCGGCTGATGCTGGTTTGCAAACCTCTGAATCGGATCAACCCGAGTCTGTACTGTCTGAGGTACCGGCCCTTCTCGCTCTTATCTTGTGGGCGGTACTCTACTGGGGGTCTCGGTTCTCTCCTGAACAACTCTCCCTTGACTCTCCGCTAATACCTGTTGTACAATGTTTCGAATCATCGTTTCATCAAGGGTAGGGGGAATTGGTTCTGGTGGGTTAGAGGATTCTCCCTCGTTCATCACACTCTTACCCTTCCTCCAAGTATTATGCCTCATCTACAAAACAATCATACTTGATCAATTTAAGAACACACTTAACGTAAGGGAAGAATTAACTTACACAGTCGGCTCTCGAACATCGTAGCGACGAGAATGGTACACTGTCAACTCTCAAAATCTCGGCTCTGATACCAAAAATGTAATAGCCGCTTTCTACTCAAATACTCATCAAAGATACATAATGAAAATACATGTAAAATAACATAAATAGTTGGGCCCAGATTTGTTTTTTTGAAACATATACATTCTTTATACAAAAAGTTATATCATGTACAAAAGCATAAAAAACAAGGTGGACAGTGCAGCCATTTCCCTTCGCTTGCCGACGCCCATCTGACCGTGTCCTCACCTAGATCCTGTAAAACATGAAAAACAATGGGGTGAGCACAACTAATGCTCAGTAAGTAAATCCTCTACGCATCTATCCCCGTAACTATCTCTCTCTAATTTTTTCCTTACAATTCTCATTTACTCTCTCTCTTATACCTCTCTCTATTTTCTCTTTCTCATAACTCTTTTCTACTAACTCTCTTTAGTAGTCACGGCCTCATTTTACCGGAGCCGAGACTCACTCCCACTCTACGTGACTTCTACTCATTCTAGCCGATCAAACTCGATTATGCATGGTTTCGGAACCCTTGGCCATGTGAGTGTATACTCTCTCTCTCTTGGGTACTCTCGGGTATAGCCCTCATCCACATGCACTCTCACGGGCTACACCACTTCTCTCTCTCATACTCATGCCGCTCTCTCAATGCGGCGTACATGCGGGAATACTCTACCCATCACTCACGGGTTCCCCATCACACAACCTACTCTATTCTCTTTTGTTTAGCACTACTTTCTCTTTGTTCTCTAGTGCTCATTCTCTCTCTACTCTTAACGTAGCTTATACTCACATTCTCTACTATTTCTCAAGCTACTTCTTAAGTGCATAAATAACACGTATGGACGGCTCATGCTCACTAATGCACTTATGAAAAGCATAAATGCAATGGTGCATCAAAGACAGTCATTCTACGTAGGTCACACTAAAAAGGGCATAACTTGAGTTATACACATCGGATTATTACAATTTTTGTCTCGTTTTAAAGCTTAGAGACAAGACTATAACTCTTATGTTTTGGTCTAAACCCAGTTCAATCCGTAAGATGCTCAAAAATTACCCAGAAAGTCACAACTGTGACAAGGCAGTTTAGTAACATGTTTTCACTTAGGCATTTCATCAAGCAACTCATGTGCATATAAACACTCCACTATAATTACTACTATACTTCATTCTTAGCCATCCAAAATGGGAGAAAACTCCCTCATATAACCATAATCCTTATCAACAAAAGCACTTCCAAATAGGTTTACACAACATCTCTCAAACTTCATCTCAATTTCCATTTCTCAATACACATTAAAACACTTCTCATACATGAAGTGTATCCAACAACCACAAAATAGCTACTCGTCTCAACTCAATTTCTCATCAAGCATACTACATACTTATACATGCATACATCTCTAGTCAATCTCTACTCAAAAGCTTATTCAAATCTCAACTTGGTTGAATTTACTTACCTTGTGACAAAGTGACTTCTCTAGCACTTCTCCTTTCCTTTGTTGTCTTGTCTTCTCTCTCAAGCGGGGCGTTACACAAACCCTTCTCACAAACACGACGTGATGACTTACAATTGGTCAAGCATAATCCATTGCAAGCTACTATATCGCGTTTATAAGAGAAAGGTTTGTCAACGTAATATTATTATTATAATTTATCCCTTTTAAAGTTAATTATTGGTCGTCCTTGCATTAGCCCATAGTCTTGGGCTATTTAAATCAGTAAATTAAGAAATCCTCCCAAAGAGGCCACATGTCTGCCTTTTTTCTGTATCGGATTTTGTTAACACGGTCTAACAATACAAGAGGTAGTTCTTTGAATGTTTTTAAAACATATCAGGGGCTTTAATGTTTTACCAAACTACAGGGGATTAAATGAAATTACCCTAAACAAAAAAAGGCTGACCAAGGAAATAGAGACTTGTATATTAATATTACTATAAATAAGATTAAGGAGGCTTAAATCATGATTAATAGGTAACTTTCATCATTGAATCACGTGGTTAATTACTGGATAATTTAATCAAATTAATTTAGTCTTACTTTATGCCTTATAATCTCATTCCTTAATTGAATCTTAGAATATTCTATGTATTAATTATTTAATTGCTTTGTTGTTAAACACAAATAATCACAATAAGTACTTTTACACTAACTTATCAAATTGAATTAAACATTACATTCTACTTAATAACATTATACGTCCAAAAGTCCAACGACGTAAAAATATACATAACATCAAGAACGTCTTTTGTACATCATGTTACAATACAATCGATTAATAAGAGTACGTCACATCAATGCAAGTAAAACATGATATATAAAAGTATGTTTTTATAACATTTTTTTTTTTTTTTTTAAACTAAAGTGTTCAGATCAATTTACGCATACCTCAACTAATATTTGGAAAATACTAGTATAACAACCCACATTAATGACTCCTCGCTTAAATTGTGAATACTCAGATGGAGAGTTTCTTAACGATTCCAAGTAAAATTATAACATCCATCAATGAGCCCCATCAAATAAATGTTCATTGCATTTGTAGGCCCAAATTAATCAAATAGTATGAAAGTAAAGGTACAATAATGCATCTGTTTTACAATAAAGTCTAAATTATTATACTTTCCTGTATGCATATTTCAAATTTATTCATTAATTTCGATCAAACATGTAAAAAATTTTGAATATTTAAACAAAAAACTCTCAAAAAAATCTTTTTTTTCCTTTTTTTCAAGACAAATCTATAATGTAATGGATGCTCAAACAATAAAGAAAATGCCATAAGGCAAGAGTGCAAGAACAATAAAATTAAAAAGAACATGACAATAAATATAAGACATTTGATTTAAGACAACTCCAATTATGCTGTAATGGACACCCATGTACTTCCAATTAATTTTTTCTACCTTTGAAATTTTAGTGCATCACCATCTTTTCTTGTCTGATTTTTGGTTTTTGTACATAATTTCTTCAACGTAAGTTCATAATGAAAACGATAGTCTATTAACTTAAGATCGTTAAATTAACCTATAAAAAGGAATGCAATGCGAAATATGAGAACCGGGGTTAATTTGTAAGCATTGGATCCTCCATTAAGTATACATGTTTTAATGAATGACGTTCACTTGAAGCTCAAAAACAAACTCGTAAAAGTAAAGAACAATTGTGTAAGTTCCAAAATTAACTATATATATTTGTAATCAAGATGTTCGAACCAACTTATATGCACTTCGACTAATTTTCAAGAGAGATTAGCTTTACAATACATCGTCACGACCCCTTATTTAAATCACAAATATTCATATGGGAAATCGAATATGAAATAGTACGTCTATCTACACTTTCTTTCATTTGCTCTAACTGGACTACCTATGGATAGAAAAAAATATTTATAAATCTAAAAACGAACAATATCTACTTATTTAGATTAGCATTATTATATTTATACTCTCGTTGACATTAAATTTAAACTTTTAACAAAAAAAAAAAAAAAAAAAAACCTGTATGATAATTTTACTAACATGTTATGGATAAAATCATCCAACAAATGTACATGAAAAAACAGACAACAAAAATAAATATTTCTTGCAAGACTTTAAAGTAATAACACATGTTGTGGGGTTTTTTTTCTGTTTTAAAAAACAACTTTATATGATAAAACGCTTTCTATTTTGACCTCACTTAGGGAGAATTAGAATCTACTATCAAAACCCCCAATCATGACTCTCTATACTGACGTGGCAACACCTTACTGGCTTGTACTTCTTGCAACCCATTAAAATAGTGGCACGTGGGCACATTTCTGTATTGACGGAAAGAAAAGTCTGTACAAGTTTCTAGCAGGTTGGGACAAGCCACGTCGCCCAAGCTGGCCGGCCTCCGTGTTAACCTGCCGTCGCGTTTATCGGTGCCGTCCCCACATTGCTTTAGTGTGGTCTTTTCCACACTATAGTCCAACCCATGCCCTGTTTGAAGAGTTGTTGAAAGTGTCGGGATGGACAGATCTACGTTAATTTATTACTCCTTTTATTCAGTCCGATATGCAACAGTCCATCACAAGCCCGAACCATCACCATTTTGTACCGCTAGATTGTTTTCCAGTATGAAAATCTAACAATCCTAATTGATCCAACTATATCATTTATTACATCTAAATTCCTAGATTATTTCTAAACACATTTTTAGATGAAATATATTCACAATATATTTTTATAAATTTTTTCCCGTAACTTTAACGTAACAATTCATTATTGATAATTCATCAAGTACACTTCATCTCTTTATATAAATCTCGTATATCAATTTAGAACCAACCATCACAACGAAATTATAAAAAAATATTTGTGAAAAAAAGGTTGTAAGTTGCATTTTTCGTAACGATACATTGAATGCGACTCAAATATCCCATCAATCAAAAACCGAAGTGAGGTGTATGAAACGCAATGGACCTCACAACCACATTATAAACCCACACATTCATACTTTATTCTATTGACCACCTCCCACGTCCCCCTTTTTTATACACACATCTCATTTTCTATTCTCAGATTCTTCCATTTCCTTCTTCACTCTCCACCTCTTCTAACCACACCAACAAACCTACAAGTCAAACCCCCCTCCAAACCCCCGCCGGAGAAATGACCACCTACGGCACCATTCCCACCTCTTCCTCCGCCGGCCCCTCCTCCAACCTCGACTACATCACCCGCGCCAAAGAACGCATCAAAGCCGGCCTCGGCTCCCGCCATCCATGGAAACTCATGTTCGATTTCCACGCCATCAAGTTGCCGTCAAACTTCCACGAAGCTCTCGTCAGAATGAAAATTAACGTCTCTTATTTCCGCATGAACTACGCCATCATCGTCTTGTTGATATTGTTTTTGAGTCTCTTGTGGCACCCCATCTCGTTGATTGTGTTCATCATCATGATGGCTGCATGGTTATTTCTTTATTTCTTGCGCGACGAGCCCCTGGTGGTTTTCGGCCGCACGATTGATGATCGTGTGGTGCTGATCGTCATGTCGGTGCTCACTCTCGTCTTCCTGTTCTTGACTAGCGCAACGGAGAATATCTTGGTGGCGCTGCTTATAGGGGTGGTGTTTGTGGTTTTGCACGCGGCGTTGAGGAAGACGGACGATTTGTTCTTGGATGAAGAGGCTACTGGGTTGATGACGACGACGTCGGCGGCTTCAGCGGGATCTTCTCCTTCGTAATCTTTGTTCATTGTTTAATTTTATTTGGTTTTTTAAATTTAATTTTGGGTTTTAATTGATGTGAGCAATTGGAATTTGATTTTTAATTTTTGTTTTTGTTTTCAAAAAGTTGTTGTGGGTTTGGTTTTGAAAGTGAACTTGGAGGAGCAGGGAACCAATTTGGTTTGAAGGGTAGATGGATGATGATGAACAAAATTCTTGGTAGAGTTAATTGCTTTTAATTTATTTTTTAATTTTTAGTTAATTATTGTTTTGCGTCATCTTTTTCCTTCTTTTTGGGAGTAGACAGTTTCTCAAAAATAAAGTTGAAGAGTAAATTACAGGGTTTAATTTAAATTAATATTTGCAAATTTGCAAATTGATTTACTTAATATTTGGATTAACAAGGAATATAGAATAATGGTTTTGACATTTTGAATTGGGTTATAAGTTAACCAGAGAGATGGGACGGATGATTTTTTAATATATTATTTAAGAGATTTTAAATTTGATTTATTTGGATGGTTAATAGGAGTAGTCAATTAGAGAGTTTATAACAACCCCAGTCACCCAAAAAAAATGAGTTATTTGGGAACCAAAATGTAAGTAGTTGGGTTAATTAATTGGTAAAGTACGATCATAGTCAAGAAAAATGGATGAACAGTTTTGACACATTGAAGGTTGACTCGAGTGATAGCATTTATGAAGAAGATCCATATGAAAATTGAATTAAGTAAATTAAAAAAGTGGAATGACTGTGATTCTATAAAATATTGAGGAGATATATATTATTTAATCAAATCCCAATTAATCGCACTATCTAGTTGAAACAAGAAATCTAAGAGGTGTAAATACCAACAAAAAAATTTAAAATTTATTTTACTCAAAATCAATTGAATTTCATGCCAGCTGGTACATTAGCCCTATGAAATTGACATTTTGTAACTTAATAATTTGACCCAGTGAAAGCTCATTTAAATTTGGGAATTTTGAAACCACATATAGACATTTGAATATATATATATAATTCTCTTTACTAAAAAATTAATATATATATATATATATTATTTCTTGTCTTTTAAAATTTGAACCACTATTAAATAGTCAATAGTAAACATTAAAAACCTTTTTAACCTCCCTTAAGTGATCGAAAGGGCGAAAGACACGTTTGGGTATATTATTCAAGAGATCTTGAATTCAATTTCCCTTGATTGTTAATAAGGGTGACTACTAGAGGGTTTATCCGATCGTTAACTTTAGGATCTCAGAAAATTAGTAGAATCCACACAAAATGTTTTGGACAATCTCAGTCAAATAATAAAAAAAAAAAAACCTTTTAACAATTTTTAATACCAAATATATAAATTTATATAATTATGAAAATGAAATAATGTAACGATGTATCGTTGAAAATAATTCGGTTCATTTGATGATAAAACAACATTATATGATGGAGTATACAACTTTTTCCCACCTAAATAATGGTTTAATGACACTTTTTTGCCCACAGACTTTTAAAATATCATTTTACTACCCAAATTTATATGTTTCTGATTCTAGCATCGTTACGACCTCATACTACTACCATTCTTGATTATCATTCACCAAAACTCTTCAAACCCTACTCCCGTGGAACCCACCAATTGTCAACAATCGAGCAATTAGGATTTGTGCAGCTGTCTCTCTCAAGTCAAATTCTGATCAATCCTAACCACCAAAATCCAATCTTCCACCATCAAAAGACTCGTCAGTCTCCCCTTTTCAAAAGCTTAAATAGTCTGGACTAAATTTGTTTTTTATTCGCTTCCGGAATATAAATTTATATAATAAAATTGTATTTTAAAAGTCTATGAGTAGAAAAGTGTCATTAAACCATTATTTGTGTGGAAAAAAGTCAGTAACTTTATATGATGATTGAACTTTTCTCAACCTATCCTCTAAAACTTCATTACGAAGGAGTGGGAACCTTCAATTGGCAATTCATTCATAATTTGTGTCCAAATTAATAAACCTAGCATGAAGGTGACAAGAGATTAAAATGGAAGCTCTAAAACAAGTTTAATTTCCTTTCCAAATTTTGTTTTATTTATAAAAATTACATCCGTTAATGAAACATTAATTTACCCTCTTATCCTCTAAAGCTTAATTAAAATTCTAAAATTTCTTATTAATTTTCAAAAACTGTTTTTTAAGTGAATTTTAGGAGAGGATTAAAATACTGTGCAATTTAAGGCTTTATTTGTTACGTTATTCCCAATAAAGTAAACAGTAAAATACCATTATTCTCAAAATATTATTCTATATTTTTTAATTTCTTTTAAACCCCCTTAAATCTGTTAATTTAATAAACACCCCTAAATATTTTTTTTTAAAATTACAAAAACACCCCAACAATCCATATTTACCAGATTCCGACCACCATTGTCGGAAGCTGGCCGAAATCTAGTATAATGACGCACTACCGGCTGAATCTGGCAGGCAGTGCATCGATCTAGCCTTTTCTGATTAGATCTACTGCCAAAAATCTGACCGTCTTTACGGTCGTATCTTTGGTCATAGTTGACGACCAAATGCGACCAGATTTGGTCGTTAATGGCCAGATCTTTGGCCCTAGATCTGGCATTTTCTAGTGAGATCCACTGTAGATCTGATCGAAAAAGGCTATATCGGCAAGATTTAGTCAGTCATGCGTCGATACAGCAACTCCAACCACCCTCCGACGGTGGTGGTCGGCTGTCCATATTTAATGGGTGTGTTAGAGGTGTTTTTGTTAACTTTTAATATTTTAGGAGTGTTTAGTAAATAAGCAAATATAAAAGATATTTTTGATAATTTTTAAATTCTATGTCGTAATACTCATCCAATTTAACTTTTTTTAAAATATTATTCTAAAAATTATCGTAATAATAATAGACAACCAAACGACCTATATGATTTTTATAACCGTTTCTCTCTAAGTGGGGAAAGGAGATTCCAACCAAAAAGTATTGTACCCTAATGTACAACCCGGTGCTAGTAGTAATGTAATAAACTTCTAGCTGAAACTCTAAAACCTCCCAAACGCCACCGTCACCACCACCACGACAACCACAAGAGGGACCCACAAGGACTCAGTTGAATCAACCGGAGCTGTCCGTTGATTAAAATGGCACATCCGCCGTACGATCCTTACTACATGCCTTCTCTTCACCATCACCATCATTCTCCGGCGACGCCGCCTCCTTCGCATCATAATCATCGTTATCATCACCTCCATCAACAGCAAGACAGCGGGATAAACACGCTCTTCGTGTCGGGACTGCCAGACGACGTTAAAGTCCGTGAGATTCACAACCTCTTTCGCCGGAAACCTGGCTTCGACTCTTGCCAGCTCAAGTACACGGGTCGGGGCAACCAGGTAGCTTCATTCCTTTTTTCTACTTCATTTTCCCGAGAAAAAATTTAAACTTTCAACTTATTTCGCGAGAAAAATTGTAACTTTTGCGAAGAAGTCTGTAATTTCATTAAAAACTAGGTAGCTCCGTTCTTCTTTTATTTTTCTCTTTTCTCCAAAGAAATTTGTCGGTTTGTTTGTCTCCCGGGAAAACTGAACTATTCATTAAAAAGCGGTTAGCTTAATTCTTCTTCGTTTTTTTCCTTTTTCGAAGAAAATGTTCACCATCTGTTGTTTCCGGGGAGAACGAATTATTATCATGTTGGTTTTTGAAGTAAATTTGAAATTGGTAGAAATAATGTGAAGTGATAACCCTTTACTCAAATGTAAAAGCTGAAGTGAAGAATGCCTGCAGCTGAAACAACTAGTTCAGTTATTTGTTTGCAAGCATCTTTATTGTTTGTAGATAAGTAGAGTGGGGATTCTAACACAATAGAGGCTTCAATTTCTTGTTTGCAGGTTGTTGCATTTGCCACGTTCTTCAATCATCAATCTGCCATTGCAGCTATGCATGAGTTGAATGTGAGAATTTTTTGTTTAGTAATATATTGTTTGTTTTAGTGGTTTCGGTGCTGTCAGATTGGATATAATGATTTTATTATGATTTTTCTTAGCTGAGTATTTAGAGATCTTTTTGCATGACGAAATTTTGTTAGCTAGAACTAGATCTTTAGTTTGTCCACCTATTTTATTATGGTGAGTTTGTTTATCATCATAAAGTATAGAGAAGAAAGAATGAGAAACGTTCAGAGAGTCTGGTTAGTTGTGAATGTTAAGAGATGAGCAATTCAGTGTGTTTTTCTGATATACATGTTTTGTTAAGTCGGAAAAACTCAAAGAGGGATGGGTTTCAGTTCTGATTATTTTTCTTGTCAATTCACCTCCATGGGTGATACTCTAGTTTTAAATTGAAAGAAGTGAAATCTTTCTAGTGACAGGATGTTTGAAGGTTTTGGAAATTAGTTTGGCTTGTGACTTTGTTTCCTTCATTATTATCTTTAGGGTGTTAAATTTGATCCACAAAATGGATCAGTCCTGCATATTGAATTGGCCAGATCAAACTCAAGGAAGAAACGCAAACCAGGTACACAAGTTTTGAAGTTTCCCCAAATAAGTGCAAATCGGTGCAAGAAATTCCAGTTAATGCTCTTTAAGGTGGTTGGCTGATTTCTTCTTTCACAGGGGGCGGTGCTTATGTTGTTATTGATAAAAGAACTAAAGTAGCAGCTAATGCCCAAGAAACATCAAGTGCTGATAGTAATGTGCTTATTCTCTGATAACAGTGAACAAAATAGGCATTATCCTTAATATGTTTGCTCATGTTGGCACATTTCTCATGTTCAGGAGATAGTGACACAGATGAAGCATCTCCAAGAGACAACACTGATTCTGGCAACAGGGGTGATTCAGTGAATGAGACCAGGTTTGAAGAGATAGAATGGTTATAAATTTATGAATAGAAGTTTTTGAACTCTTGCAATGTTTAGCTAATAGGCTGCCAAGTGGCTAATTAGGTTACAGTGACTCATTTTGTGCATTGCTAATTGTGTATTCATGTCTGTTAATGTGCAGTGAGACAGCAGCTGTTCCCGACAACTCTGCAACATTTGTAAATGTAAGTGAATCACTCATCAATCTGTGGAAAAAAGTTCATTTCATCTGTGAACGTTCCATGCACTTGTTAAAGGCATAAAAAACTAACAACATTGTCATAAGAATGAGGCAAAAAATCTATAGTTTGTTGCTTTGAATGTTAATATAGGATAGCGCCTACTATTATATTCAACTTGAGTGAAAATCTCTTGGTATAACTGATAGTTCTGTGGCCAGTATGGTGGCAGTATTATCTCATAGTTTATCATAAAACTATTGAGAGAGTAAATTACCGAGCAGGAAGTTCTTTAAATTATTTATGATGTCATTCAAACAGTGATAAGCATACAAAGGTTACCATATCATCAATGTGCAGAGTGCTTTTCAATCATCTCAGAACAAAGGTGTTTCTGACTCTGCTATCTTTTCTAATGGTTGTAGGAGCAGTCTGAAAAGACTTTTGAAGGTGGTGTTCAACCATGCTCAACTTTATTTATCGCAAACTTAGGTCCAAATTGCACCGAAGATGAGCTAAAGCAAGCTTTGTCTTTGTAAGTTGTAATTTGCATCCTTATTTATCCATTGGTTGAAATTGTTTCCTTGATCAGATGGGGTGCTTGATTTTTTTATTTGTTCTTTGATGATGTCTACATTCTTGTCTTTGTCAATCATCAAGTGAATTGTTTGGCTAGAAACCTAATGGCTTTATTTATTTTTTGTTGGTTCCAGATATCCTGGATTCAGTTTGCTCAAATTGCGTGCCAAAGGTGGAATGCCAGTTGCATTCGCTGATTTTGAGGTATTGCTTACATGTTCGGGATGTTATAGGCATCCATTTTGCTATCATAATAGATGTTCGATAAGGGGGACTGTATATTATTAATGGTTCCATGATGGCCAATCCCAAGTAGTTCGAGTAGCTGTTAGTGAACTGAGCTGCTAATGAACAGATAGTATAATTTGAATGTATGATCTCATGAAGACCTTTTTTTTTTCTTCATTCCCCAGGAAATTGAACAAGCTAGTAAAGCCATGGAGGAGCTTCAAGGCACTATGTTACCATCATCTGATCGAGGCGGCATGCACATCGAGTACATCTTCTCAACTCACTTTACTAGTTACAAAGTTTCTCTTCACATAGACAGAGTTCATCGTGTGTTTTTTCACTGTTGCCTCTAGATTTCGACTGATTTTCATTATGTATTTTATACTGTATCTCTAGATATGCAAGGTCCAAAATGCGGAGGTTCTAGGGGAAAAGGGAGCAGAGGCAGAAATTTTACTTTGTTTGATGGAGTTCTTATTCAGCTGGATTGCTGTTGAGATTTTTTGATCCACATGATCCCGATTATTTCTTATTCACCTTTGAAAAACGAGATGAAAATCTTTAGATGTTGCAGAGTTGTAAAGAATTATATTTATAAGGTAGAAGTTATTTATTATTCTTCTTGTTATTCACTTGGGATGTACTAAATATCTCCTTCCTATTACAGTTTAAGGTCATGGAAAGATGTTAGTACAGTTACGTGATCAGATTTCGCACTAATAAATAACTAACGTTTACTAGTACAGTTATTCTGCCGATAATATGAAAACATTTCAAATTTCTGCTTGTTTAGCAAGAAAATTGAAACATTCATCAAGAAGTCAGCAATTCAATTAAAACATATGAAGCTCCGTTTTCTTTTAGTTTTTCTTCCCCACAAAATTTTGAGTTTACGTATGTTTTCCAAGAAACTGAACTTTTGATTAGAAACAGTTTGCTTCATTCAGCTTCTTGTTCTTATTATTATTATTATTTTTTTTTCTCAACAAAATTTTAACTTTCTGTTGTTTTCGGGAAACCAATATTTTTCGGGTTGTATTCTGAAAGCAAAAGTGAAATGGTTAGAAATAATGTGAAGTGATAACCCTTTACTTAAAACCTGAAGTGAAGAATGTCTTTAGCTGAAAGAGTTGTTCAGCTGTTTGCAGACAAGCTGGAGTGGGGATTTTAACAATCGGCTGTTGCATTTGCCATATTCTTCAATAATCAATCGGCTGTTGCCACATTGGAGGCATAAATTGAATGTGAGAATTCATTGTTAAGTAATATATCGTTTGTTTTAGTAGTTCCAGTACCGACAAATTGAATATGTATTGATCTTATTATGCTTTTTCATATGTGCGTATCTGGAGGTCGTTTTGAATGATAATTTTTATTGGCTAGAATTAGATCTTTAGTTAGCCTATTCTCTTTCTTGTGATGAGTTTTTTTACCATCGTAATGTGTAGAAAAGAAAATAATGGGAAATACTTCCATAGATTAATTTTGAACATTAAAAGACGAGCAACTAGGGAAAATTTTGTTTCTGAAATCCATGTCTTGCTTAAGTAAGAAAAACTCACACAAGAATGAGTTTTTTTTTTTTTTTTTCTTTTAACTGTTTTTCCTGTTAGTTTGCCTCCATGGGTGACTATATGGAAGTTTTGAACTGAAAACAAATTTTCTCCGATGAAATGATATGTATTTTTTTTCCTCTGGGATGGATGTACAATTGATATATTATTAATATGAAATAAGACACGCCATAGCGTTAAGTTTTCTCCTTATATCCGAAATTTGCCTTGTTAAATTTGGTAGAAATTGCAAAGAGACCAAAAAAAAAAAAAAAAAAAAAAAAAAAAAAAAAAAAAGGATGATGAAAACAATTCTGAAGCACTTTGGATTGACATTGAGAAAATCTTGTTGAATAAAGAAATTTTCCAAAACGTACCAAAACGTAAACCAAGAAGAATTTCTCAAATTCAAAGATGTGTAATTGCTTATCTTGGTCCTATAGTAGCACCGCCACTACTTCTGCCTCGACTCGGAGATTGCATATTGGTAACACTGGTTGACATGAAGCTAATACATACATTTGACCAAAATCTAATTTCTAAAAGTAATGTTCCACACACAAGACCACTAATTTGTTCATTTTGCTAAAAAACGAATAATTCGTAGACGTTACGTCATTAACTTACAATAATTAACAACATCCTTACTCAAACATATATGAAACATATAAAAGAAACCAATAGACTTAAAATAGATAAACCGTATTAAGTTACAACGTTCCTCAAACTGAGGACAAATTGGCTAATGACTTGTTATAATTTTGTGGCATTAGCTTTCTTCAATGCTTATAAATAGGTCTTACAGAACTGGGATTTCATAATTACTCATTGAAGAAGACTATACCAGAAAGTAACAACATAAAAAAGAAAGGATAACATGGTGAAATCGATTGACATAGCGAAAGTTGCCTTTTATTGATATTATTGTATCAACACTAGAGCTCAGTCAATTTCGATGTGACGAAAGATGCGCAAAAGCCAATGGACCAGATATCAATGCGGTAATACACCAATGCAATAAAAAATCGCTATGCATAACGATTTCTATTTCGTTAATCTCCTGATAACATAACGTTTCTTGTCTCAGGCTTTAATGAGTACATGGAAAAAAGCTGTGCATCTGCTACGCCAAGCAAAGTGTTGATTCCAAAGGATATTCTCATTAAGTCCAGTGACCTTAGAAGGTCCCTGCAAGGCTCCTATGAGGTTCAAGTTCAAGGCACCCTCAAGGCCCTATCGGGCGCTAGCAAACGACAGAGGATGGCGGTTGGGTTACTTTCCAACACATTGAAGGCTTCACATTGTCGGGTGGTGGAATTTTCGATGGCCAGGAGGCTCGTCCTGGGGACCTGTGGCAATGATTATTGCCAGCAGCTTCCCATTGTATTTATTATCCATTGTATATATCCTGCTAACCTATTTAAAGATGTGTGTATACGTGTGGCACCTGACAAAACTTGTTTCAATTCTGTGCATATAAATAGAGGTCGACTTCATTACTAACGGGTTGGTCCAAGATGTAACTTCCCTAAACAGCAACAATTCATGTTAACGTCCTAGGTTGCAAGAACTTCAGTTTTCGTCGCTTTACCGTCACCGCGCCCGAGATAGCAAAAACACCGATGGCATCCACATCGGAAGATCTAGTGGAATTGAAATTATAGATTCAAAAATTGGAACAGGTGATATTGCATTTCCATCGGTGGTGGAGCTCAAAATTGTACATTACCAAAGTTACATGCGACCTGGCCATGGCATCAGCGTCGAAGTCTAGGACATTATGAAAAAGAAGAACCTTTAGTCGGAATCACTGTCAAGGGTTGTACTCTCACTAATACCGACAATGTATGAGAATCAAAACTTGGCCAGCTTCTTATGCAGGCTCTGCATCCAACATGCATTTCGAGGATTTTACTATGGTTATGTCAGCAATCCTATCATCATTGATCATCCTACTGCCCACACATGATTGCAATGCAAAGGTATAAAAAAAAAAAAAAAAAATCTTTGTTTCTTTCTTTTGTGTTTATCAAGTCTCATGACATTGACCATATCAGTTCCATAATGCTTGTTCGTTTTTTTTCAGCTTCCATCGCGCGTAAAGATCAACAACGTTAGCTTCAAGAACATTCGAGGCACTTCTGCAACTCCAGTTGCTGTAAAGCTTGACTGTAGTAGTGGTTCACCATGCCAGGGTGTGGAGCTTGACAATATGACCTTAAATACATTGGAAAGGAAGGATCTATTACATCGAATGTAGTAATGTAGACCTAAGACGATCGCCGTACAAAGCGCGCTAGCATGTGGCAGCCCCACCGCGGCCCATACAGGCAAAGCTTAATTTAATTTCGAAACTATGTGGGGACAATACATAGCCACTCTTAAACTTTTCATGTCGAATGCACGAATCAGACAGTTACAAACATGTATCCTTCATTATGAAATTAGAATTATGTACTTGTTACTCTAAATGACGTTGTGCGAGTTTCAATTGCAATTAAATTTAAATAAAATTTATCTTCTTTGTTGATTGTCACAGATTTTTTTTTTTTTTTTTTTTTTTGTGTGCGCGCGCGCGCTAGCCTATAAATTTAACCTAATGTTAATAAACCTGTGAACTCATATTACATCTAACATTGAACAGAGAAACCTATGGGCCTTCTTTTTTTTCTTGTGATGAGTTTTTTACCATCGTAATGTATAGAAAGAAAATAATGGGGAATACTTCCGTATTTTAGTTAAGTTTGAACATTAAAAGATGACAACTAGGAAAAATTCTGTTTCTGATATCGATGCCTTATTTAAGTAAGAAACCTCACACAGGAAAGGGGTTTTATTTTATGATTATTTTTCCTATCAGTTTGCCTCACACAGAAATGACGTGCATTTTTTACATCTGGGTCGGACTACAATTGATATTCTATTATTAATTTAAAGTAAGACAGTCTATAGCGTTAAGTTTTCTCCTCATGTCCATAATCTGCTTCATTGAATTTGGTAGACATTGTAAAGAGACCAAAAAAAAAAAAAAAAAAAAAAGGATAATGGAAACAATTCTGAGTATTTGGATTGACATTTAACCCTTAAAATTCTAAAAAATTTAGAAAATCTTACTAAATAAGGAAATTTTCAAAACGTAAACCAAGAGATTTCTCAAATTCATAGATAGATTTCATCTGTGTTTTTTCACTGTTCCTCCTATTTAGACTGATTTTCATTATGTATTTTTACTGTATCTCTAGTATGCAAGGTCCAAAATGTAAGGTTCTAGGGGAAAAGGAGTAAGGCAGAAATTTTACTTGGTCCGGTGGAGTTCTTATTCAGCTGGATGCTGTTGAGATTTTTGATCCACATGATCCCGATTATTTCTCCCTCACTTTTGAAAAACGAGATGAAAATCTTTAGATGTTGCAGAGTTGTAAAGAATTATATTTATAAGTAGAAGTTATTTATTATTCTTCTGTTATTCACTTGGATGTAACTATATATCTCCTTCCTATACAGTTTAAGGTCATGGAAAGAAGTTAGTGCAGTTATGTATCAAGTTTTGCACTAATAAATAACTAACGTTTTTAACACCCACATTGAGGTTGCTATTTATGTTGTAATTCCCTCAGTTTTACTTATTACAAGGTGAAAGATTAAAATTAGAATTTGCAGACTTCGCCGGACAAGGAGTTTTGTGGTCGTGACACTGTACACCTGCCCAATTCATGTTTTAGAATTTGCAGGCTTCACCGTGGCAAGAGGAAGTTCTCCGCGGCAAAGTACACTCTGGAATGCTTCGCCGAGGCAAAGAAACATTTTTGCTGAGGCAAAGAACTTGCTAGAATTTTTGAGAAAATTCTGGAAATCTTGCTCAAGGGCAAAATGGCATTTCACCCTAATTAGTTGAAAGTTGGGGAGTGAAAAGTAGTAGAATGCAATGGAAATAAGGGTTTTTGTAATTGACTAAGGGCAAAGATGAAATTTCTTAGAAAGTGTAAGGGTAAAATGGGAAAGTACAAATAATAGTATGAGATATTAGGTTCAAGAATTGAAACCCTACCATTCTCCCCAATTC